GTCAAAAAATAAGAGCTCCACAAAAGCAACCTCATTTAAATCAAGTTATGTTTTAAGAATTATTGATAGTAATTCATACTACTCACTATTAAAGATAGTAATGCCATCGTGCAAAGTAGCTAATAAAAGTTAGCCTTATCGAAAAATGGGATTTGAGAAAGGACAGGCTCACCTTCAAAGTTTCATTCGCCCTAAGATCTAACGGAACCAAGTCGTGACAGTGTGGCCTATTTCCAATACCTTCGAGGGTGCTGATGAAAGTGGAAACCCAAATTCTTTGTAGCACTTTAACGGGATAAAAATCTAGTCATCCTAGACTGCTTAAGGCGATTTCCACACTCGACCAAGTTGCGAACACAAAGTCGAACTAACATTACAATTCTACAAGAGACCGCGACCAAACGGAAGGTCACATCATCTTGATCTTCACATCTACAATCTTAAGGAATGTTAGTTGATTTCATTGAAATTAAATGACACTTGTCTCCCAAATGCTAATCTAATCATAAAACATGCTCATCTCATCTTTGGAGAAACTGAAATCACCCTAAGCCAACTTGGATGAGTAAGCTATTATTCAGGCATTGATGATAGTCTCGAAATCTGCTTATAACCAAAATGAGCCAAGTTGATTCAAGCCAATCTATGACAGTCTCGTAAAATGATCATGTGAAAAAGACACTGTAGTGTTTCTTTGGACACATATATAAGATATTGGATATAGGATATATGATAAAAGATATATATATAATATATGATATATGATATATATATGATATATATATGATATATGATAAAAGATATATATATGATATATATATGATATATGATATATGATATATATATATGATATATATATCATATATATATGATATATATATAAGATATTTGATATATGATATATGATAAAAGATATATATATGATATATATATGATATATGATATATGATATATATATGATATATGATATATGATATATATATATATGATATATATATGATATGTGATATATGATATATATATCATATATATATCATATATATATATGATATGTGATATATGATATATATATCATATATATATCATATATATATGATATGTGATATATGATATATGATATGATATATATATATGATATATATATGATATGTGATATATAAGATATGATAAAAGATATATATATGATATATATATGATATATGATATATATATATCATATATATCTGATATGTGATATATGATATATGATATGATATATATATGATATGGATATATGATTATTAAGGGACTTTTGCTACCGGGTTCTCAGGGTCCTTGGCTTGTAAGCTTAGCGATTGTCAAAAGTTCTGCACTTTCTAGCCTCGAGGATACCTTGTTTTCTTTAGATGTTTCAGTCGAAACGGCCATAATCAGATTGGCTGTACGCATGTTACGAGAAGGTGGGCGTGAAATTGAAGGGATGTGGATGCAGCAGGAATGGCGGAAACTGGGCCTAAGACGTAAATGCTTGGTCTTCTAAAGTGTAATTAATGCCAAGCGTGTCTTAGTTCTTTTCGATGCATAATAGGTTAATTTAGCCCAAGAATGCAACGAGGTCTCAGAAATGAACTGCTTTTAGGCAAAGCTTTTCCCTCATAGTCCACATGTATTGGGGCCCATTTGTGAAATGTACGAATCGTCTGTTTCTGTACCTCAAACTAACCATTCTCCATTCTTAGCCAGACTGGTTTTTATCATTCAAGTGAATGCTTGAACAGGTAGGCAATTGCTATTTAGTGACTTTGTGAGTATCGTACTGAAACAATGAAGAATGTATAAACTGACTGAATTAACGGTTAAGTGAAGGAGTTTGCATTAATTTACTCATTAAACTGATGAGCTCGGAATTCAGCTTTGACTTAATTAGCCCGCAAATTTTAAGTAATTGAATAAGTGATTTACTTAATTGTGTCAAGTAATATGTGAAATATTTAACAAGCTTAAGTAAATACTTTTATGATTTTGTGAGTTACTAAAGGAAAGTAAATTATATATGTTAGTTGGTGAATTCCAGCATATAAATGATTAATTTAGGGAAATTTAATTGTTTATATGCATAAAATATAAAGATTTTTTTTGCGGTGAACGAATACATTTATAGTTTTGTGATTTAGTGAATTCAATCAGGAATTGCGTTATTATTCGAGTGAGAGCTTAAGTTAAAAATACTAATAAGTGAGTATTAATCAAACAATGGTTGAATGAATGAGCCTTTGAAATAAATTGAATGATTGATTAAATAATTCGGTAATAGGTGCTGGTTATCAGGAATGTAGGTAATTCAATGAAGTTCACCGAATAAAGGTTTAACTAATCATTTATGCAATTGGGGAGTGAATGACTAATGGAATAATTAATTGAACTGACTTGGTGCATGAGTGACACAATTATTCATTAATTGGTAAAGTTGTCGGATCAATTATTATTTAAATATTATAATGCTATATTGAATAAGTAAATGACTTAAGTATCTGAGTGAATAAGTCAAAGTACGATATTGCTTATCAGCAATTGCTTGATTTGTCGATTGAATTAATTATTTTGTAAGTGAATGAGAAGGTCATTGCTAAAATAAGTAAACGAATTAATTGCTTAAAAAGCATTCGGCCAAGTTGAGCATGAGAAAATGATGGATGACAATGTATTTAGCATTTAAATGTGATGTATTAACCCGAGTTTGTTTAAGGTGAATTGAATTTCACAGAGTCTTGCTTCATAAAAGGTATCCTCTTCCAGCGCAGACTGCGGTTTGGTAAACCTTCGTAAACAGAAATATTTAGTACTTGTTTTTCTGAAATTACTACTTATAATCACTACTTGCTTATCTTTTTCACCAATTCCATAAATCTATTAGAGAAGACCTTTTTAAAGATTCTGTATCCCCAACTGCAAAGTGCCCTTGTGGAGGAATATGTGAAAAGTACACTTGCTTTTGTTGTCTTATCTCATCTACAGACCGGGCACAGGAGAGACAATGCATTTCGATACCACATCTTTGATCTCATCTGGTCCTGAGGAAAGACGAAGATTCATGCGAACTCGAGTAAAAAGAAACACCAGATTCTGTTGAGAACTTGACCAACTGCAAATCGGCCACAATGGCTTCTTGCCTCCCATTGGTGCCGACCGTGAATAGTACAGCACGAGTTGGGATGAGTTGTCTTTATTAGTTCCGACAACAGAGGCGATAGCAACCATCTCGGAACCTGCGATTCTATGAGTTGTCCTCAAGAATAGATAGCCTCGTTGCACTTTATTGTCAGGTTGGTAAGTGACTAAAATTTATCTTTTACCATCAATTTTTTCATCACAATTGGTGAACAAGTTTGCCCTTTGTTAAAAGTATGCGCTGCTGGAATCTGGCCAAGTGTTGAGGCATGAAGAGGTGAGCTCGAGTTCATTAGCATCGAAAAAGCGGTCACTTTGAGCGTCTCTGCTTTCGCCCACTCAAAGCCGTTGCCAGTCTCTCTGGCAAAAAGACAGCAACAATGACAGACAAGAGAGGAGAGTGACAGTCGAGCCGGCCCCGATGAAGCGAAGAGGTGAAGAGGCGACTGGGACTGGCCGGTTAGTATGCGTGTACGTACAAGTCTATCAGTAGTAGTAGCAAGTAGTGTCAAGCAAATATTTTATTAAATAGAGAAATTGGTTGCTCGTGAATGTCTGTTCGGATGAGAAGTTGCAGGTGTCGGGAAGCCGAATGGGTGCTGAGACACAAAAGGTCATCAATCCGACGACGCCTAACAGCTGGTCCAGTA